GTCCTCCCTAAAGGAGGACAGTTGGTCACCTTAATAAATGTATATTAGTAGCTGTTCCTGAGCTCTTTCGCATATAATTTGTAAAGGAAGACATTCACATAGGACTTTCCTTTGATGAAATTAAGAACAAAGAATGTGCGATTCAATAAAATTTATCTTGTTTTACTGATTGCATTCATAACATAATGTTCCAGTCAGTTTATCATTCTTTTAAAAAATCTACAGTAGTTTAAATGTTCACAGGCCTTTCTAACATATAACTTTAAAAAGTGAAACTTTTTTGATCTGGGTAGTTTCCACAATACATAATTTTTAAAGAGTTAACAACAAAAACAATACTCTTTTGATCTTTGTTCTGTAAGTATCCCCACAAATGCACTATTAGCTCTTTTTTATGGAAATACAATCATTTGGGTTACATTTTTCACAAATAAATTAAATTTGATTTGTTTTATGAACAATCAGACCCTAGTGAATTCTGCCTAGGGCTTCAGTGATCTTTAGTTTTACAGACTATGGCATTTTGAAATTTAAAAAGTCATAATTGACTTATCTTACATTTCTAAGAGAAGAAACATTCATGTTTCTTTATAGAAGACATATGTACTGCTTGCTCGCTTAAAACTTTCAAATGAGTCAATTCCATTTGTAATCAGCCTTTTTTTGTTATTGAGTATTTCTTACTATACTGACTGTAAAATTTGTAAACATTTTCATGTCCTGCTTTTTCTATTTGTTCTCTATATGTAAGAAAGTATTTTCATTTAGGGCCTATTTTTGGTACCACAGGTATAAGAAAATAAATGTTGCTTCACAGTACTATTCATTTATATATAAGTATTTTATTCATGAATCATTAAGATGATTCTTGTTTTTTCTCTGGATTATGTAAGATTATCCACAAGTCCATGTAATTTTCTCTTCTCAAATGAAATCATTTCCTATCTTCTTCAAATACTAGATAATTAAAGAATGAGATACAACATACAGCCATACAGCAAAATATCTTCCTGAAGGTTAAATTAGTTCACTTCCAGATATTACTAAGAATGCTTGCAAGTCTGATCCTCAGAAATCAGTCATGCTAAGATCTAACTAATGAGAAAAACGTTTTAAAAATTGCTCATTTCTTTGGAGTGCCATTTTTATATTAAATACAGTGTGTAAGAGAAGAGAGCAAAATTCTCTGTCTGCTCTACTTGTCTTCTCAGAGGTGGTTTTACCTGGTACCTCTTGGCCCAGCTCTAATACTTGGATTTACATATAAATAAACAAGAAGCAAGAACTCAGGTTCCCCCTAGCAGAGTGTGCCAATTCTGGATTCTAGTCAGTCAGTCATGCTCGATTCTCAGATCTTGTTTCATTCTGGGTTCCATCCCACTTCAGCATTTTTTTTTAATTCTTTTCCACCACAGGCATTCAGTACTCAATGGCTATTGAGCAAACATGGGCCTTCATTGGGCAGCATCAGAAGGATTGTTCCTTTACGGTTTAGCAGGAAATGAGAAGTTGATTTATTTCTGTACATCATGTGTTCCATGATATGCATGTTCAAACTTAACTATTTTTTTTTGTCCTGGCCTCCTATAGCTACATGTATGTCAGAATTTAGTGGCTGAGCATGCTAATAGAGGGAGTGATATGGTATTCATGCTAAGACAAGTCATATATTTCATGTTCGTTTTCAACTTATCACTTTTTCCTCAAGTGCTGTTGAAAACAAACACAACTAACTATAGTTGATTGCTCGCATTACATTTCATCTCCTACCTGATTTGCTTCCCTTATCTGAAACAAGTTTTACTGTTGTAGCATTGAGAGTCAGATAAGCATAATTTTCAACCTTAAGTCTTTCAAGTAAGACATCCTTCTCAAAAATCTAACCTTCTTAATGACTTAGTCCAGTAAAAAGAAGACTATAATCTATGAATAACTCTAAATTATAGCATGTCCCATAAAGAGAGCCAGGCAGTAAGCATTACATTCAGAATAAGGGAAACTTTTACAAAGACATGATGGATCGATTATGCTGGCTATGTCACATGCTTCTGGAGAAAGTAAACTGTGAAAATAAAATACTCTATTTGATATAATGGATAATTACCATGATAAGATGTTTTCATATTTTGACTACACAATTTGAAGATATGAAGGCATGACTGGAGATGTTTTTGGAAAGCAACATTATCACTTACCAGAAAACAAGTAAGTGTTACTTTCCAAAAACATCTCCATTCATGCCTTCATATATTCAGAAACTAATGAAATAATGCTAAGGTATCCCATAAATTGTGTAGTCAAAATGTGAAAAAACACAATTGTTTTAAAACTAGACTGTCCATCACTGCTAAAATCATTCATTTTTTTTTAAAATAGCTGGATCAGTTCTTCTTCCTCATATGTCCTCAGGTGCTGGTTATTAAGTTAAAAGAAACATAACAGTCTAGCCATACTTATAAAATGCAAATTCTAACACATGTCACCAAAAAATAAATGTGATTCTGTAATTGAGCATGCCATGACATTATGGCTGAGAATTTTTAATATCACAACTATTTATATAATCCTTGATAATTAAATTTAGTATCCATGATAATCCAATACAACCCACTGTTCAATATATGTCAAGGAAAGGATGTCCCCTTTCTATGTTGCCCAGAAGCATTTGGCTATTCAGCACTGAAAACCTCAGAATGGATGAAGACAAGTTTCTGAACTGCTGTAGGAGGCTTCTGCTTATGTTGGTATAATCTCAGATGTGTGTTGAAGATTAAACACTGCAATATTTATTTAAATCAATTAGAATGTATAGATACTTTGACTTCATTGAAGGCATCTGGAAAAAAGGAATCTAACCTGTCGCAGTAGGATGATTTGTAAACAAGAATCATAGATAATGATTTGGTTAACACATTTGGTTAATACATTTGGTTAACACGTTTGGTTAATACATTTTTAAATTTAATTAAATTTACTTTTAAGACAGTTTCACTAAAGTTATTCTGAATTCTCAAAAGTGTGCTGAGCTCCCCCACTTTTAGAAACATGACTTATAGGATCCTCAGTTACCAAAAAGCATCTGTAAAGTTGCAGATGTAGCACTGTTCAGGCATCCCTTGTGTCTAAGCCCTAGAACTAATATCAGGAAATCCAAAAGCTCCATTTCAGGGTGATGCTCTACATTCCAATAACAATTGTGATAAGTAAATCCTACTCATAGCCAAATTAAGTTACGATACAGCAAAAGTAAGATAATGGTGATCTCATTACCATTCTAGCTTTAAAATATCAATTTTCCATCTCTCTTGGCAGCTCTTGAATGACCAGACACAGATTTCTAGTAGGAGCAGACTCTTGCCAAATTTGTTACAGTATAGTGCTCACTAAAGGATGCTCCTGTCTATTTACAGGAGTAAAAGTGATCAAGGAGTTAAATGCAGGACAGATTCTTTGGGCTTTAATAACAATTCTTTTCTCAGGAAAACAAGGGTTAGGGTTAGTCCCACTCAGATTTCCAGTAATCCAAAATATTTCTAGCCAAGTATAAGTCTTTGGACCTTGCTGTTTATACAGGTTCACTCAGAAGTAACTTCCAGTGTGCACAACAGTTATGTGGATTCATGCTTGTGTAAATTTATACATAATTATAATTTAAATCAATTATTTCCAGTATAAGGTTCAAAATAAAGCAGAAAACACATCTCAAAATATTGTTTGATCTACAGCTCTTAGTATCATTGGAATATACCTAGTAATATCATCTCACCACTTATGAATCCCAGCATAATGCTGAAGAAAAGTCAAAGTAGACACAGGTACTGAGAAGGATCAAAATATATTAACTAGGGAAAACAGGAAAGTTTTCATTGTGAAGCATGCTTTTCAACAGAATCAAAACAGAAACCAAACTCTAATCAGGATTTCAACTATCAGAAAAAGAGGAAATAAGATAAAGGAGAGATTCCCACATTAACCTTGCTCTCCCCTTTTGCCAAGGTGAAGGGCTTTGGTGAATCAGTCTCGCATCAATTGTACACGACGTATTTCTTCCAACACACTTCAAGAACACCAGCAGTTAAAAATAATTACACAATTCCAGGGTACGCAATTTTCCGTGGGGGTTTGCGGGGGGGGGGGAAGAGACAGGTAGAAACAAGCACAATAGGAAGACAGGGGAAGGGGCAGAGAAAAACTAACAGACCCCCCCCCCCAAATATGGGGAGAACTAGTATCTCTTCGGTTCCTCCTTTCCCATATATCACCCCAATGTCATAGAACGTAGACATCTTAAAGTCATTGCTCCTTGGAAAATGACTCCTCCTCCCGGGAGCGCTCGAGCAAACTTTGGGAAAAGTTTAGGTAGCCAGAAAGAGAAAAGTTTAGGTGGTCAGCAAACATTTTTTTCGTATTCCAATGTTACGAGTCCCGTTTACAGCGGGACCAATAGTCACCCTCTTCCCCTCCCCGCCCCGTTTTAAGATAGCAGCGCTTTAACGTTTGTTGTGAACTTTCGTTCCAACCTGGGATATTCTGCAACCATCCATTCATCTAGGACGACATTTTAGAAGTAATCATCAATTCTAGGCTCGCTTCGCAGCCTAGATTAATAAAGCGATCGTGCAGCTGGGTACACAATCCGATTTTATAACCTGCTTCTTTCTTGTTTCTGTTTTGCTTTTTTTTTCCCCCCTTTTGAAAAGAGCAAGCGTAGGAGGAGAGAAACTTTGGAAAGTTTTGAAATTCCTTTGGGAGAGCTTCATTTCTACCAGGCAATGGCGGAGCAGAGGTAAAGTGGGTAGCGGAAGGTATATTCCCCTCCCATCACAATCACTTTAGAGGCATCTGTTTCCAAAAAAACTTTTGTTAATCTTTGGAATACACAGAGATCTGGGATTGAACTGGGACAGGCTGACACTTTCTGAAAAAGAAACGAGCAGGTCCTCCGACGAAAACAAACCCGCGCACTCGGACTCAGAACTGAGTTTCAGTCCTCGCCTTACCTGTTTTTGTGGCGGGTCTTTAAGAGATTCCTTCCAAAGGGAGACATGGTGAGACCCAAAGGCAGCAGGGGAACATCAAACTCGGGAAATTGACTGGGGGCAGTGGCTGAGCCGTCTCCCTGCGCGCTTGGTGCTGGTGCTGGTGCTGCTGTTGCTGCTGCCGCCACAGTTCCAGCTTGTTAATAGTCACCCAGCGTAGAAGTTGTGCAATCCGTTGCTAACTTTGAACTCCTGCCTCTTGTTGTTGTTGCTGCTCATTTGGAGCCCTGCCCAGTTGCGAGCTGGAAGAAGGCATTTAGGACAGGGGAGAAGGGAATGAAAGCAAGAACAAAGGGAGGGAGAGGGAAGAAGTGGGTGGGGGGGGACTCTAATTAGACACTCTTTCTGACTTCACTAACGAAACACCCATAGCTTGGCGAAGATTCAGGATTTGGAGCGGGCAAGAAAGAACTTCCCTGCGAACATACAGCAAGGTCATGGTAATCTTAACCAGAGGACAGACCCTACAGCTTACCCCTTCTGAGCTAAGGGATGACTTTGTCTCTCATAGGTCAGGCAGTGTTCCTCTTGTCCATAAGAACTTGTTGAAAACCCAACCTGATTGGCAAACGTTTGAGCTTCATGGAACTCTCCATCAGAAAAAGAAGAAAAGGGGAAATAGACGGGGAAAGAAAAAATGAAGGTGAAATTGCAGAAAACTCAGATATGAAGTCCGTTGCTAGTGTGCAGTATTGTTTAAGTTTACAGACCACAGCAGCTTGGTTCACCATGATGTGTTTGGATAAAGCAGGTCACTGGTGTATAAACTCTGGTTTATGACTTAGTATGTGTTTGAACAGTCATTGTGGTATATTAAAAAAAAAAACTATGGGGAAGCAATTCATGGGATATCACAGCATGCTAGACCAGGGGTGTCAAACTCAATTTCATAGAGGGCCGCATCAGCATTGCAGTTGCCCTCAGGGGCTGGGTGGGTGTGGCCAGGGTGGATGCAGTCTACTGGGTGGTGTGGATGGAGTGGGTGTGGCCTACTGGGTGGGTGTGGCCAGCTCTTCATCATTCCTGTCAAGGGTGCCTGTGGAGGCCTGGGCAGGAGTGGGATAGATCTGAGGGTCTCTGGCAGAAGGAGGTGGGACCAGGGCAAGTGCCAATGCATGGTCCACTGGAGGAGCCTCACTGTTCCTCTCAGGCCATGCGGGGGGGGGGAGCTTATGGAGCTAAGACTGAATGCGTTTCAGCGTAGGTGGCCACCACAAAATTGTACATTGGCTCTCCGCTGGCCTGGGCCAGGGCCAAGGCAGAGGGGGCCGTTCCCTCACTGTTTCCAGGATGGCTTCGCGGGCCACATGAAACCATTTTGCGGGCCACATCTTGCCCCCGCGCCTTGTGTTTGACATGTCTGTGCTAGACCAACCAAATAGGTCCTAATAGAGAAAAAGAAAAATCTGCTTGTCCTTAAATTAGCAGAATTATGAATGAATCTTATTCCAAAGTGAGGTAATATTACTGAGTATACTTTCCCATTAAACCACATTTCCCCTTTTAATTTCTTGGAAGAATGACTTAGGGGACTGTGAGAAGTTGGGATAATAACCAGACAAATAACTTTCCAAACTCTAGTAATGTGATTTGGTCTTTTATGTAACACTATATTTTTTCCACTAACCAACTGGAGGATATGAGATCACAGGTTTTCCATTGCTAATGTCAGTAGAAAAAAACATTTCCAGGGACTGTGCTGTACAGTAGGAAAAAGTGGTTGGGCCTTTCTGACAGTTTTATGGACCATAATTTTGCAAGCTACATCTAAGATTGTCAGCATGTTATTGTTGTATTATTGTAATTTACTTTTTTTGTGTTGGGTACTTTTAATCCAGTTTTCATAGGGTTGCATTTGGCTGGATAGATGGATGGATGGATAGATAAATAAATAGATAGATAGATAAATAGATAGATAGATAGATAGATAGATAGATAGATAGATAGATACTGCAGATATTGTAGATACTGTAGCTAGAGCGATAGAGTGATAGATAGAGTGATATATATGTAGAGAAATAGCTATAGTTAGAGAGATAGCTATAGATAGATACTCTGCGCACATGCATCATGTCATTGTTGGCTCCTAGTGACTGCCTGGACAAGTTCCTAAGTTTTTTTGGCAAAATTTCAGACGTGGTTTGCCTTTGTCTCCTTCCTATGGCTGAGAGAGAGAGAGAGAGAGAGAGAGAGAGAGACTGGCTCAGTGTCACCCAGCTGGCTTTGGATCTTAGATAGGTGTAGAGTTCACAGTCTCTTAGTTTCTAGCCTGGTGCCTTGGCTCTCTGATACCTATATATAAGTTAATATGATAAATAATAAATACATGTGTTAGGAAGTCATTTTGTGTACTACAATTTACATGATATAGCTGATCAATGAAAAAAAATAGCAGGTCATCTGTTTCCATCTATTGTTCAAATGCATAGATATAGAATGAGGGATATCCAACATGGTTAATTATACTTGTAAAAAATGTTTGGAGCAACAGTTAATGCAGAATGAAACAACAGTGTGATACTACTTTAAAAAAGGCAAATGAAATTTTAGGTAGCAACAACAGAAATATAATTATTGAGTCATTGGAAGCAGTTATTCCATTTTTTCCTGTTTTGGTCATCTTAAATACTGAAAAGCAACAAGATAATTAGGGACCTAGAAGTTGAATTCTATGAAGAGACACTGAAGGATCTGGGAACATTCATGGTGAGGAAAGACACACGATAAGGCAAATATTACTTTGAATATTTTATCCCAAATAATTAATTTAAATTACAGGAAAGTCAATTCCAATTAAATTCTGTAACAGTAAGAACAGCTTGACAGTAGAAACACCCAGAAACAGGTAGAGGCTTCACTGGATGTTCTCAAACACAGGCTAGGTAGTCTCCTATCTAGAATGCTTTAATTGGGATTCCTGGAATCAGCAGAGCAGTGGAATCAAGGACCCAAATATTCACCTCCAAGTCTGCAACTGAATGGTCTTTAGCGTTGTGTGAGACAGATAGAAAGAGTACATCCTGTACCAATGTAGATCTAGTATTTTGGAAAACATCTGTGTCTCTTTGCATATTTACTAATTAAGAGATATACTTCAGGACCCAATGGACATAGTAGGTTCATGGATGTTAAACTAAATGCAGGAAGTATGAATGTGAACATGTACATGTTGTTTAAGAGGTTACAGATCATGCAGACCCTCTGGGAAAGGTGTAGAAGAAATCTTTACTTTGAAAGTTAATTATATACATGACTCCAGGAAACACAAGTTATTTACCCTTCCTGTGTTTATTTTATCCACATGATTACAGTGCAAAGCTGCTTTTAGGGCCCATTTCATTGCCAGAATGCATTAGAGTATAACCTAGATGAGTCTTTACCACTCTGTTCCACCAATGAGATATACCTAAAATGGAAGCATATCCAGGCTCCTTGGTGATACCATATGATTTTCCTGTAGTACTCTAATTTTTTCTTCTTTTAAAATGTTGACATATTTCCCAGTTTGGCTATATGAATTTCAACTTGTAATTCTTCCGCCTCATTATAAATTATTACCCTACCCCCTAGCTTGAAATATGAAGTTTTTAATATATTATTTGTCAAATAACTTGAGTACATTAAGTACATCCAGTGCTTTGTATGTATTTCCTGCATGTAGGATAGCAATACCAATAGCACTTAGACTTATATACCGCTTCATAGTACTTTACAGCACTCTCTAGGCAGTTTACAGAGTCAGCATATTACCCCCAACCATCTATGTCAAGGATGTCAAACTGCCGGCCCACAGGCTGGATACATCACATGGAAGCCGCACCCACCCCATTGCTGGCAATGTCAAAACTGTCCCGATACGTTGCGCGATGTCACGTGATGTCACGAGTTAGATTCCTTAACCATTGCGACACCACAGTTCCTATCCTAGGAGGCTATTGTTGCTGCTGCTTCCCATTCTAAGAAACCCATCACTGAATATGCTACTGTTTTGGCATGCCAGTTAGAGAGAAGACGACAGACAGGCCTCTCAGTTCTCTTTATGCCACATAATTTCAGGATGAGTTGGCAGCAGGATGGGACAGCTGAATAGATAGGAAGTTTGCAGTGCCATTGGAGAGACAGAAGAGATGTGTTGAGCTTCTTCCTATCTTCTTCTGAGGGATGCAGTGGTTTCTCTGAACTGAGAGAACTGAGAATAAAAAAAGTTTATACTTTCCCCCTTTTCAGTTAACTATTTTGCTTCTTATGAAAATGGCTCAGTTTGCTAAGCATAATTCTTATTTGAATCATGAGGAGCTTGGTATCCTAATTCTTCTTATGATTTTCCTATAATGGTCAGTTTAGGATTTCCTTTATTCTAGTAGCACAGTTGTGGAAAACCTCCGTGGGGAAATTTGGCAGGATTTTTTTTCAACAATAAAAATCTTAAAAGGGAATTTTTTTGATCAGGGCAAAGAACTGTGAAGTACAGCAGAAAAATAGAAGCAAACAGAAGAATCCCTCTATTTTCTGAGGTCCTGAATATGTAGAATAATCTCATAATATCTTAGCATACCTTTTATGCTAAAATTATTTTAATATAAATAAAAAGATCACTAAAAGAAAAAAGAAAATGAGGACCTAACAATTGAATGTAGATGTTGTTGTCTCTAAACCATTTGATCAAAAGTTTTTTTTTAAAGTAACCCCATTAATCTGCATGGGATGATGTTAACATCTACTCCATGGATCACCTATTAGTAGTAGTACTAGAAATACCCTGCATACTTCAAGTTAACATATTTTAAATTAATCTCATGTCACTCAAGTACTTGAGGTGTGGCTATATGGAAAAGGAATAGAATTGGGTAATGAAACTAAAAAAAAGAGCAAAGGGAAAAAAGCAGCAGCAACTAAATCCTATAAACTTGACAATTGATCAGGTGGTCCAACTTTATGTTCCCCCAGAAAGTTTTCTATTCATACTGCTAAGCTGGAGCTGAGTTCAATCACAGGGAATTTCCTCACTATTCAATAGTGACAAATATTTCCTAACCACCTGAAATGTTTGCCAGTCTTTCTTGGCAGAGAAACTTCATTCCACAGCTGGGAATTTTTCCAATACACATTAACTACCCTCTTCTCCACCCAGCCTTCCTTTTTCATTGTCTGACTTTAAATATTATGGTCTGATTGTTTCAACAGGCAGTTTTACAATACAACACTTTCTTGTATTACAAAAATTATATATATATATATATAT